CTATAAAAAGGCTTCTGGAGCCCATTATAACACTATTTCTGGATAAAGGCAGAGGAGGAGCAGGGAAGAAAGCATGGGAATGACAACAGCATGTTCTTGGTTTCTATAAATTCTTTGGGACCCTGTTAAGAATGAGCAGATGTGGGATATATCCCCATACTCAGTCCACCAATGTAGCAGTGCACTCTCTACTGTCACTTTTCTGTAGCCCAGGTTGTAAAGAAATGGGAAGAAATAAAATAAATAAATAAATAAATAAATATAAATAAATAAATAAATAAGTCTTCTGTTGTAAGCTTTATGTTGTAAGCATTTTTAAATTTTTAAAAAATTTTTGTTTTCAATTACAGTTGACATTCAATCTTATTATATTAGTTTCAGTTGTACAGCCTAGTGGTTAGACATTTATATAATTTACAAAGTGATCCCCCCAATAAGTCGAGTACCCACCTGGCACCACACATAGTTATATTACAATATTATTGACTGCGTTTCCTATGCTGTACTTTATATCCCCATGACTATTTTGCAACTACCAATTTATACTTCTTAATTCTTTCACTTTTTTCACCCAGCCTCCCTATAAGCATTTTAAATCTCACAAATGAGAATAATCCCATCCTTTCTGGGAAGTGATGCCTTTTATGTGGTTTTCTACTCCCAGCTCTAAGGAGAAAGGATGTCATTGAGTTATGAGATGTCTAGCAGTGGTCGTTAGCAAAGCAGGTGAAAACTGTAGGAACTGCTTCCTAGTGAGATTTATATTTATACTTATATATGACTTTTTTTTAAATGGTCTTTCCCTCACATATATCAACCTTAGTACTTGACTTAGGACAAGCAATCTCAGATATAAGGAACACCCAGGCCACAGATTAATTGAAATTTTACTTAAAATTTTTAATATATTTCTTCATATTTTCTGTCACTAGTTTTATGAGAACAAGGAACAATGACATAGTTCCTTGAAGACAGTTGATAATTGAGGATAAAAGTACACAGTTATACCACACTAGAATTGATGTAGAACATGAATAGCAAACACACTGTAAATAATAGCACTTAATAACTGGGCCTGAAACATAGTTTTATGCATATTTCTATTCTCTGTTCAACATCTTCCCTTTACATGTAAGACCATTCTCAAAGTGACATATCTGTGCCCACATTTGAAATCATTCAGCCTTTCAGGCACCCTTGATACCGCATCAGGCCATGTCCCCATCTCCTAGCATAATACCCTTGTATGCTCACAACTGTCAAGAATCAGTTGGCAATGTATTAGGTGCTGATTGATTAGTTGCCTTCTCACATATTAACAATATTGCAATTCTTTATTTTCTGGCCTTTCAAACACTTCCTGCGCTTTAATTTACTTAATTTTTACCAGTGTTTCTCTGTCCTTATTTGCTTGGTTGTATAATGTTCAAACTGATGAAGTAAATGCAGAGTAAATACCTGCCAGTTCAATTTATCCTGAGAATCTGCTGACATAATAGCATGTGCACTAACCCTGATCAGCATTAATTTTTTTATTCAATGAATTTTTACTGAGCTTACCGAGTGCCAGCTGTTGTGCAAAGTGATGGGGAGACAAAGGTAAAAAGGCAGGTATCTCTGTCCTCATGGAGCTTTCAGACAAGAAAGCAGTCTCAGTGCCATGTAATGACCCAAGTTCAGAGTTCTGTGGGTGCACATCAAAGGGCCCGTATATCAGTTAGAATTAGGTTGAGGTACAAGTGGCGGAAAATCCAAATAGCAGTAGTATAAAGGAAATAGACGTTTTTCTCCAACATGCACGTCTGGAGGTAGACAGACCAGAACTCCACAATGTCCAGGACAGCTTCTATCTTGTTGCTATGCTATGTGTGTGGCCTCCATGCCGGAAGTCACCTCATGTTTAAGATGGCCCCTCTAGCTCTATGTCTACATTCCACCAGCAGGAAAGAGGAAAAGGGAGGAGAGGAGCAGGCTCCTTACCTTTAGAAGACTTCCTAGAAGTTGCTGAACCACTTGTTGTCATGCCTAACAACAAGGGAGGCTGGGAAATGCAATATTTATTCTGGGCAGCCAGGAAGAAGTGAGGACAAATACTAGAGGACAGTTAACAGTCTCTGACCTAGGAAAACAGTTGCCCAAATTGAAATCTCAAGGTAAGTAGGATTCTCAGAAGTGTATGTGTCTGTGTCCTCACAGGAGGATAGCACTCCAGAGAAAAGGAAAAGCACAATAAGTTGAATGCTGAGAAGAAACTGTCCTTTCACCAATTATGGCTAATCATTGTATGGTAATGTTTATACTTTTCTTAAGTAAAAAAAGTGCTATGGTTCAGGTTATATAAGAGGAAGGAGATGGGGTTTTTGTTGTGTGCAGTTTTGTGGTTAAACAAGCCAGGAGACCTTCTCAGAGAAGATGGAGGCTAGGGGAAGGTTTGTGACAGGGGGGTGGTATTCCTTTCTGGGACATGTTGGCTGAGGTGAAAGCATGTACTCGAGCCAATTCAAAGAAGGGAGCATTCAGGGAATATTCCAAGGTACGGATTCAGGGGCTAGCTTATACCTTTCTGTGCCCATGATAGGGTCGCATTGCCTGTTTCATTTGAATCTTGCAGAATGGTCACGCCCGCAGAAGTGGCATGAATCTGTAGGAACAAGAAAACATTTACAAGGTGGTAAATTCACAATATCAATCTGCTTTGGGCTTTCTTAATTTGCATTAGTTCCAGCCTTATAAAATTCATCTTCTAATTTAAACAAATCTAATAGCAATTTTTGCTTGCTTGTTATTGTGAGAAACATGCAATTGCCTCATATGAAAATTACCATTTTCTGAGAAAAGAAAAATTATTAAAACTTTACTACCAGAAGTACACATTAGCACACAGGAAACTAGAACAATTTTGCAAATAGGCAAATTGATATATATAAATGTGAACATATGCTCCAAGTTCTGCTATTAGTTTTAATAAGTGGCTGGATTATTGGTTCTTTTGGTAAATGTTTAAAGAGATATGCCAACTAGTGCTGTTCGTTGTTTATTATTTTGCTTCTTTTCTGATGCCAAGTCAATGGGAGAAACTTTGTGTTCTTTCTTTGGTGAACTGATGCTGCATCTCTTATTCCTTTACGCTCATGAAATACACAGAAGTGCCCTTAGTAGATGCCTGCTGCAATACTTTCTTTGGTAAGAATGTTATTTTATAAGTCTGAGTTTCCAGACTCAATCTTATATATGGTATTAGGGCTTTAAACTCTTCTAGCTAATATAAGAAAGCATAAATTAGAATTATAAGATTCAAGAACAAGGATGCAAATATAGAATACTAGATCTCAAAGGTATTATAGACCATTTAACCTTTTCCTTTACAAATGAGGAACTGATGACCCCAGGGTAAACGATCATTCCAGGAAGGCACCAGGACAGAAACTCTGGTCACCTAATTCTGACTTCAAGGTTCAAAGGCAAAGGTGAATTTCAAGCAAGAGGAAGTATATTGAGACTTTACTGGTTGCAAGGAAGAAACCCACCTGGGTGATCTTGAGAAACAGGGCTTATTCATAAAGCTAAAACAGTGCCTCAAAGGTTTAGCTGTTATGCCCAGAGATTCTGTTGCCTCTACTTTTCTGTGCCTTTCTCCAGTCTAGGCAGTGAGACTCTGATCAGGTCAGTGACTTGGTTACCAATGACTAAGGAGCATTCCTGAAAAAAAATTCCTGCTGGAGCTTTGGCACAGACATCAGTACTGGGTCCCATTAGTTTTAGTCAAAGTAAGACACTTACTTGCTTTGGGTCAATACATATGACTTTATAAACTACAGTGGGCCTATACAGGAAGAGCTTCCAAAAGCTTCTATGGAAGCAAGGTAGGCCTGCTAGAAGGTACAGGCCATTTGAGCTTTCTAGACCTGACCAGTATGGGGAATAAAAGACATTTGTGTCTATAGATATAATGGGGAAGATGACGTAAATCACAAATAAGCTCAAATTGAGTAAGTTTGCAAGTGAAAGAGAGGTAAGTGCTCTGCCCTTAAGAAACTACCCACAAACACTGTTGGGTGGCTTTTGGGCAAATCAGTTAATGTTGTCAACCTCAGTTTGCTTTTTGTCTTCAAGTAAGGTAATGATAATATTAATCTTGCCCAGTAGTTGTACGTATCAGAGATAATGTCTGTTAAATGGCCATCACTGTGTAGGGACTGCAGCTAAGGTTACTTACGATTATTACTACTATTTTGCTCAGTGAGACAATAGGAAGGGGGCTTTACAGTTGATTTGTAAGAAGCTGTATTAATTCTTCTACACTGTGCAATGGTTCATATCATGGGCTATGTTGGATTAAGACTATTTACTTCCTAGCTGTGAGATCTTAGACAAGTTATTTAACCCTGTGTTTCCCAATTATCTCAGCTGTAAATTGGGGATAATACCTTCTATCACAAAGAGCTCTCGTGAGGATTAAATGAGATAAACTAAGTACTGCTTAGAACAATGCCTAGTATACAATAAACACTTAATACATGTTCTCTATTAAGCTATCAATCATTATTTTTATTTCATGGACACTGAAACTGAGGCTTATGATTTGCTATTTTAGCAAGTGGGCTAGAGTGGGGTGCTGAAAGAATTTCTCTCTCTTCTTTCTCTTCTTTCCTCCCTCCCTTCTTCATATATTTATTTATTAGACTGGTTTCGCATTCAGTAATTCCTGCCTAGTAGATTGGGATTTGGGATATGTGATTTATTTTCATTTTCTTCCTCTAAAGCTCCATCTCCTACTTCTACCAGGAGACGAATAAGTATTTACTCACATATCTTGCTTCCACTGCAATAAAATCATATTGTGCTTTTGTCTTTTGCCACTAACCTACAACTATTAGCTGTCATGTCCAAAGTTCCAAGTTTTTATTTGAATCATCATAGTTGAGAAATCAGTAGGGTCAAGGAAATAAGAACCAGTGTTTACGTAAGTGTTTATTGGACTTTTCTTTATCATCTTTCAGGTCTTGTAGAAATTTGCCTGATGCACCCTCTCGATGTGGTGAAAACCAGGTAAGGTTCTGCATGAACAAGTTTTATTGACTTTGGCTGATATCCAAATTAAAATCTGTCAGAACACTAAATGCTAGAACTTGTCCTAGGCCGGTAGCTTCTCCCAATAATGGCATTTATATTTACTTCTTAAAGAAAATACTATTTGACAGATAAAATGTGAAAAGTGAAAAGCATTTCTGGATAGAGGTCATCTAAAGGTATATAATATTTTACTGCCTTCACATGACAGCCATAAGGTATGATTTGTGGCTAAACTGGTAAGCGAGATATATTTATCACAATGATGTAAAAACTAAACTTTATCTAGTGAATTATTGCAGCAGACTTTCATTTGGCATTACATATAATAGATTACTATTCAATAGTCAGCATTTTGGTGTGAGACATCAAAATTTCAAGTAAACTTCTTAAATGGTGCTTAAAGAATTTATTCGTGTAACCGTTTGCCAATACAAATGCCATATTTCCAGGAAAATGCATTTGCTCTTAAAGGTAGACGCAAATCAGGGCAATGCATTAAATCTAGTTTCCAAGAGAAAAAATATCTTATGGGTTTTAATATGATCTAGAGCATTTTAAAAAGTGAACCTGTGGCTGAATTATTGAATTCTGGTTTTGTTTTGTTTTGTTTTGTTTTGTTTTTCTAATTAGAAGCTCTTGGAGCATAGTGAAAATCTTCATTTATTTGCATTGTATAAAACCCAAGAACACCATACCTGAGTTGTAGCTTAATAGCAAACAGTGCATTAAGCATGCAAAAACAGCCATGCAACAATGATGATTGAACAAACCCTTACTGCCACAGTTAGGAAATACAGTAGTCCCTCTTATCCACAGCTTCTCTTTTTGAGGTTTCAATTACCCATGGTCAACCAGGGTCTGAAAATATGAAATAGGAAATTCCAGATATAAATAATTCATAAATTTTAAATTGTGCACCATTCTGAGTAACCTGATCAAATCTCGAGCTGTCCCGCTGTGTTCTGCCTGGGACATGAATGATCCCTTTGTCCATCATATCCACACTGTATGTACAGTGCAATAAGATATTTTGGGAGAAGGAGAAACCACATTTACATAACTTTTATTATAATATATTGTAATTGTTCTATTTTATTATTAGTTACTGTTGTTAATCTCTTACTATGCCTAATTTATAAAATAAACTTTATCACAGGGAAGAACATAACATATATAGGGTTTGTTACTATCTGTGGTTTCGGGCATCCACTGAGGGTCTCGGAGTGTTTCTCCCACAGATAAAGTGGGAATACTGTACTTGATGAGCCAGAGCTCCTGTTTGCTGAACCCACAAAACACTGGGAAGCCCAGCCTAGCAGAGGGCAGTTCCTCTCCCTGATAGACCAGAGCAAGACAAGGGAAGAATGATAAATGGGTCCAAAGACAAATAGAATTAGGATTGACACACTGTCATTTTTGTAGCATTTTGTTAAAGAGCTGACCTAAGCATGAATTTTCTTTTTTTTAATTGAGATATAATTGGCATATAATGTTATATTGGTTTCAGATGTACAACATAATGATTTATATTTGTATATATTGGAAAATTATCAACACAATAAGTCTAGTTAACATCCATCATCACACATAGTTACAAATATTTGTTTCTTGTGATGAGAACTTTTAAGGTCTACTCTCTTAGCTTCTTTCAAATATACAACATGATGTTATTAACTATAGTCACACATGCTATACATTACATCCCCATGATTCATTTATTTTATAACTGAATTTTGTTTCTTTTGACCATCTTCACTCATTTTGCCTACCCCTCACCCTCAGGCTCTGGTAACCACCAGTCTATTCTCTTTATCTATGAGTTTGGTTTTTGTCTTTTATTTCTATTTTAGAGTCCACTTATAAGTAAGATCATATGGTATTTGTCTTTCTCTGACTTGTATCACGTAGCATAATGCCTTCAAGTTCCACCCATGTTGTCACAAAGATTTCCTTCTTTATTATGACTGAATGATATTCCATTGTGTATAATATACCACACTTGTCTTTATCTTTCATCCATTGGTGGACACTTAAGTTGCAAGCATGCATTTTCAATTCAACAGGAACTCACTTTGCATTTTAAAAGATTATTAGAAGTTATAATTGATAAATCTTTTACGGAGAGACTTTAGACACTATGACACTTGGCTTTAAATAGGAAATAGCTTATTCTTCTCCATATAAGTATAGACCTAATGTAAGCATAGGCTAGCCACATGAAGATTGCCTTGTTCTATGTGTCCCCACATAATTTTAGCTGAGATTTGGTTACAATGCTCTACACATGGCAGTTAGGTAATATCAAGGTTTCCTTTGAGATTCTCCCCGGAGATGTGCATATACATGGTTTTACAGTTCTCTTTATATACAAAGACCTTTGTGTACAACTGTGGGTAGACCCTCTGGTTAAGATCCCATAGCTATGAATGACAGAAGACCCTATTTACTTATATAACTAGGAAGACCAAAAGGATTTCCTGGCTTTGTATTCTCCAGGGATTCAAATAAAATAATAATATCTCTCATATTGTCTCTCATTCTTTCTCAACCTCTGTCTCCCTCTCTTTCTCTCTTCCTCTCTACTTTCAGCTATTTTTTCCTTTTTAGTTTCATTTTGGAGTGGCTTCTCTCACTTGGCACCACATAACCCCAGCAGCTTCAAGCTTACATCGTCCTTGGTGTTTGCATTCTCTCTGAGTCAGGATAACCGTGTAGTTAAGAACTCTAAAAGAAATCATCCAACCAGTAAATCCAGAGTTAGGCTGCCTGGATTCAAATTCTGTTTCTTTACTTATTATCTGTGTAACCTCAGGTATGTTGCTTTACTTCTCTGTGCCTCAGTTTTCTCATCCTTTAATGAGAATAATGATAGTATCTACATTATTGTGAGAAATAAATGAGTATATATAAATATATATATGTGTGTATATATATTTATATTGTATATATAAATAAGTAGATATATACATAAACACACACACGATATGTATACACACACACACACACACACACGGTGTTTAATACTATGTCAACAAAAGAAAGTTAAGGGGACTACAAAGACAAATAGAGTTTATAAGGTAGTCAGGGAAACACAAGGGGAATACAAAGTGAGGGAGAGGGGAAATATTTAATATGGAGTCAGATGGTTTCAAGTTCCCAAGCCAGAAGGCTTGTGTTATGTGAACACTGCATTTAAACCCTTCCCGCAAGTAGAGAGTTCTTCTGGGTCTGAGGGCAGGCGAGCATTGGTTTAGTCTATATGTTCCTGTTGACATCATTTCATGCTTTATTTTAGGACTGTGTGCTGAGGTAACCCCCATGGCTAGCACAGTGCCTGGACTCCTGGAGGTGCCCAGTGAATGCCATCGAATAAATGAATATTTGGTAAAACTAAAAAATAATAGCCCTATGAGTTATATGGACAGAAAAGAATGTCTAGAAAGTGACCCATATGCAGTTGTGTTGTCTTCATTAAAAATTGTAAGATTTCATGAAAGAGGGAGATAGTAAGAATCTGTTGGAATAGAAAGGGATAAAGTAATTGATAGGGCGGTGGGCAAAATCATCTCAAGCTTGTGGTGGAGTTTCAGAGATTGGATTGGGGAAGAGTGACGTGCTAGGATTTCTACTACGTGTGCCAAGATGAGAGGTGGGTAGACTGAACCAGCGCAAGGGATTGTAGTTGCCAAAGGAGCAAGTTTGACAAACTTTGACACAGAAAGTAAAATTCTGGACTTCATCTAGGACTATACCGGCAAATCGAAATAAAATGCATGACACATGTGTAATTTTACATTTCCTAAGAGCCATATTTTAAAATGTAAAAATAAACAGGTAAAATTAAATTTAATGATATATCTTATTTATCCCTGTAGACCCCCAAATTATCGTAGCAACGTGTTAACCAGTGTAAAAATTATTAATGAGATATTTCACATTCTTTTTTATGCTCAATTCTTGAAATTTCTGGTGCATATTTTACACTTAGAGGACATCTCAATATTGACTAATCAATCACATTTCAAATGCTCAAAGCCACATGTGGCTAGTGGTTACCTGAGCAAATAAACAGCACAGGCCGGAAGTGCAATGGGAAAGGAATTCTTTAAGAGGAAGGAGAGGTGGTCTAGTGGTTCCTTAGTAAGAAGAATGCTCTTGCCTAGAATGGGGTGACAGTTGTAAATAAACAGGGTCCTAGGTGGGAGGAAATTTTATGACGTATGCATTTGAAAGTTTATACCTGTATGGGGAAAATGGCATTCGGAAGCCCCAGAGATTCATCGAAGTCACAGTCCAAGGGGATTTTAGCTTACATTTTTATTTCCAGGAAAGGAAATGGCTCATTGTGCTTCAGGAAGAGAGAATTACTGAGGTATTCATTCTGCTTCACCCCCACTCATTTTTCATGACTTTCGTTTTGTTTCATTTTTGAAAGGGGCATAAATCAGGTACAAAGTAAATTAATTACTGATCCTGTAAGAACCGATCTTTTAAAAGTGTGTCCTGTCAAAGAGCTGCAAGGCATGTCTTCTGGTGGGTGCCAGGGAAGGCAAGAGGGGAGAGGCACTCTCACAACTCCTTATAGACATATAGTTATAGGCTGTTGGTGAGTGGCCAGTACATACCCTGGCTTTCCTCCTTCCTCCCATCAGGACTTAACTTGCACTGAAAATGTCTTATCATACTTCTCTCAAAACATATTAATCACTGTGTGAATTCTAAAGATTTACACGGGTTAAAAACTTGGCATCCGCGTGTTGTTTTATATGAGCTTATGGGGCTTTTTACTCAAGCTGTTGAGATTGATTTACACTCTCTGTAGGTGACCCCCCAAGCCCCAGACCTACTGGTTCAGAAACTCAGGGGGTGGAGCCTACCAATATTTACCTCCTGGGTGAATCTTGAGCAGCGAGCCCAGACTGGTCACTGGTCAGCCTTTAGAAACTGTTGCTGAACACCCTATAGGCAGCTGTGTA